GCGGCAGGGACGACATGCGGAGGATAGGAGCAACCGACGGGAGAGCGTGGGGCTCGCGTGGGTATTTTTTCCTTGAGCGTGGGGGACGGATGACGGGGGTCGATCGTGGGATTAGTGGGATGAGCTAACCGTGGTTTGCTGCTAAACATTCAGATGATTTGGACCGTTAGATCTTTTGATTAGATGGATGAGATGAATTGGTTCTCCGCCCTCTCGTGCTTTTATAGGGGTAGTAGATAAATACTGTTTTGTCAAACTCTGGTTTGTTTTCCTGGCGAATGTTCCAACTTATGGGCAACCAAAACCTCAACCATTATTTCCACTAGCTATGTTTTCATCTGAGGCATAAACCAAACATACACTTGGCCTCTTGGTGCCCACAAGGCCATCCAAAGGCTTGTGCAAAGTCCTGCAGATACATCGTTTTCTCTGAGTCAGTTTTAATCTTTTGATGCATATATGTAATGCTAAGCTGTAAATTGTGCTCCGGTAAAAAAGTAAGGTTGTCAATCGTACTACTGGAGAAAAAGAGAAATGTAGACCGATGAACTTAATGTGATGTGTACTTTGGCGGATTCTCCGCTTCCTGCACACGAAACTGCACGAGCGCCTTTCTCTGTCTTGGCCTGTTTATCTCCCGTCGGTTTTTTCTATCCTCTAGTGGCCCTATGAATCTCAACTGCCTCCACCTCGCGAGTCCTCTCTCCTACCACCACCGTTGTTCTGGAGGGGCATAGCGATTCCGACAACCAATGATGCGACAAGCTACACTCTCCTGGTTCTGAATGTGCACACCGCTAGGTTCTCATGAGTCAATTGAGGGGGGCCGAGGAGGAGAGGCATGACGCCACAAAGTTGTGTGGCACCTCCGGCAGATCTGCACTGCCGTCTTCTCATGTTGGCTCCTCCGCGTGTTAGTCAGCGCTGCAATTGCAATTGCTTTGTTTCCTAAAAAATACTTGCAATTCTGGCCAGTCGACACCCCATACGATTTCTAGAGATGATGTGTTTCCATATGCCTCACATTCATATTTCATAGCAGATTGCGTCACCCAAACCATCTTTCATTGTCACGTCTCTCTCTCTTCATGCTTGGCTGCGAAAGTATTGGTCAAGCTTCCCTTGCCGAAAAAGGATTCCCCCGCTATGTATTTCAAAGCAACCAACACCGATACAAGGATAGCTGGGGCGAACAACACAGCAAGCCCAAAAGAAAAAGAAGAAGAAACAAATGCCAACAACGTCAGCTCGATAAAGCGCGGATGACCCGCCACCGCTACGCCCTCTAGACACAAACCACCACAACCCGAGGCTCCGAACCACCGCGTACCAAGCAGCACCTC